TTCACTAAAGTCCCATTATTTTACCTTAATTTGCGAATAAGTCCCAAAATAAAATTTATTGATGATATGGCCCTTTTCTTCATGTAACATACATTTTATCGGTTTCATTGCTGACTTAGACACCTAGTCATTAAATTAGCTGATAAGATGAATATGATGGGTTATATAATGTCACATTTACTGTAAAATTTGATACCAATCTCATCGACTCATTTATGACTATGTATCTACGTCAGCAATGAAACCAATAAAATGTGTGTTTCCAAGAAAAAAGGGCAGAAAATGAGTTGATGTCTGATGAGATGGATATATTGGGTTACATAAGATTAGATAGACAATTTGATATTTCTTATAAACATAAAAAAATAACGCAGTTGTTGTTAATTTATGTAATTATTGTAGTATTCGTTGGATGCATTTTATGTTCCAAAAAGATATTCAATACATAAGGATATCAAGTTTTATGCTAAACATAACATTATATAACTCAACATATCCATCTCATCATCTCATTTAATGACTAGGCGTCCGGGTGAGCAATGAAACCGGTAAAATGTATGCTACGTAGAGAAAATGGTCAAATCATCAGTAAATTTTATTTTGGGACTTATTCGCAAATTAGGGTAAAATAATGAGACTTTAGTGAAACATGTAAGTAATAAAACCGGTAAACCGGAAAAAGGGGTCAAATCGACATTTTTACCGGTAATTCATGTTTTTTTTGTAAACAAAATTTAGTTTGGGACTTTTTCGTAAATTATGATAAAATTTTAGGACTTTTCTGGAGATTTCCCTAAACCAATTAACACCACAATATCAACGAACAACATAGCACATATTTAGCGGCAGACCATACATCGCTAATTTATGTGGCCATAACCAATACTTGTCAATTATTTGACCAATTCAAGACACGACTAAAACCGTGGTTAACCTAACTGATCCGTTAACTTAACGAGGCTACTTACGTCGGTCGCTATTCCGTCTCTTATATAATTTATTTATTTATTTATTTTTTCTGCGTGTATATCCAACGATAACGAACCAATAATACCCCAACTCCAAAGTCAAAAAATGTTATTACCTTTTCTTTGTTTATACCTCTGTCAATATCAGCACAAGACACATTAATCCATTTCTTCCCCATTAAGTATGTCGAAATCAAACATTACGATCATCAACCATGCAAATAGTTTGCCACGTTCTTTAACTGGATATAAAGATCAGGGAATCATTATTTTAATATTTATTATATACCTTAGTTAATCATTCCTTGGCTAGTATCTTTCAATGAATGCCTTTTTACGTTATAATTTGATTAGAATCTCTTTTTAATTAAAAATTATTCTCTTTCCAACAAAGCAACTATCGATAGCGATTTTTCTTATATTAATATACACTTGTTTTCCTATTCAAATTTTTTAACAACACTCATGTCATGTACGATTATAATCATGGAATACAAATGATATATTTCATATACATTTTGACATTTTTACATCATATTTCAAGTTCAATCGATGCAGTTTTTCACTTTTGCACGCATAGTGCCTCGTATGTTTCTTGACATCTAATAATAAGGAAACGGTACTAAATTTTTATATTTTATTCTTATCTTGAACGTAGCAATAAAAAGATAATTTACCATGCTTTATCATTTTCTTTCGGTTTACAAATACTTAAAAGGTAGGATGGATTTGTGACCGAGTGTCCCCATCCATGTTTCTCTTTAAGTATCATATTAAAGGAATCGGATCGTAAGAAGATATATGTATTACGAGATATGATATTTGTAAAATTGATGAATAATTAAATTACGACGTCCAAGATCATTGCATTAAAGCTTCACTTTTGTTAAAGTGGCAAGTGGAAAAATAATTTTATATTAAACTGATAAGCAGGTTACACACAAAGACCGATAAAAGCTGGTCTACATAAAGAATTGCAATATAGAATGCTTCCAAAACACAAAACTCCAAAACAGGAAAAGAAAAAGATAAAGAAACTGTTCCATCATCAACTGTATAATCGTTGCCTTGTCAAATGATTGGCAAAAAAATCAATAATACGTGGAAATTCATCAAAACTTAAAGGGATATACACGTACTAAACATCTTAACTGTGTCGTTTTAACTTAATAAATCTATTCATATCGGGTTTTACTTGGTAAATATACCATCCCATAGAATTTCTTTCCTCCGTTATCGAAAAACCATCAATTTTTTCTTTCTTTTTTACATTATCGTTTGATACTTCACCACTGTGAAAGTTACTGTGTTCAACCGTCACGAAGATCGAACATAATCAATATTAATCCTTCCCTATCAAAATTATTGCTTCAATCTTGAATCTACAGCTTCAAGTGTTAATCGTGAATCCTTTAATCGTAATCCTTAGCTAATAAAATGACGTTTCATAAGGTTTAGTATCTAAGCTTAGATGAGGTTGTAATGTATATATTCATTTTTCTCTATATATAATATTTTTAGAATTTTTTTTTCATGAGAATGTGAAAACAGCTTCTCGCAAACTTAAAAAATTATAAAACTATAAAACGCACATATATATATATATATATATATATATATATATATATATATATATATATATATATATATATATATATATATATATATATATATATATATATGCATTTTCGTAAAAATAATATTTTTTAAAATCATGCATATATGAAACATGAAGAATGCATATATGAACTTTTGTTTTATGTTGTGCACACGAAGTGTATATATACTCTTTATATATGTACGTCTTTTCTTGATATATATATATATATATATATATATATATATATATATATATATATATATATATATATATATATATATGTGTGTGTATGTATGCAGGTTTGTTTGTATATCCTCAACAATTTACGTAAAGAAAACCCATGATGTATATGGTGCATTGGAAATATGAAAGCAAGTCAAGATTCGATGAAAGCATGTTCTTGTTCAGAAAGCAGGCATGTCGGGATATATCTCTTGGAGTAATTTAATTTTCATGTACTTAATTAGGGTGATAAACACCTTCTGCTAGACCATAAAGTTCTTGCTTCAAGTATAAAGATTTTTCTATGTTATTTTCTCTGTTGTTAATACAAACGTGTTAAAATATTTATAAGCGTTTAAAATAAAATCCACATTATTGAGTATACTTGCCATACTTATTAATGTGTAAAAATATAATTAAAAATGTGATCAATTTCCCTACTCTTGCATTTATGGTGATGTAGTTAATTTCTTCATATTAAAGTTATAACGATTAAAGAGTTGGTGACAGGCAAATTTTTCCTCAAAGCGCCAAGTTATGTGTTTTATGAATTTGCAGTCCTATGAATGCATAAAAGTGACAGAAAACTGTATATACGTAAAGATCAACTAGATTGTTTTATTGTTATGTCATGTTAGTCTTTGCAGAGAAAGTATGTCAAGAATGAACCAACCTTTAAATGACTGAAAGTTTTGGTAAATTGATCTAGTGTTAAGGCATCCTCAATTAATAGACCTTTATAGATTTCAATGGAATGTAATATTATAATTCTATGTTTATACAATTTTATTTTCTTATTTTTTATAATGTATTATTTTATGAAAAATTAATAGAATATATTTAAAAATAATAATTTATCATAAAACCTAATTTATGATATTTATTGAAGGATTAAAAAGTTTATGTTTTAATTACTATTAAAGAGTTTATTGATTATTGAACTTCAACATGAAATCCCAAATTATTGATTTAATTAATCAATTGAACATCAACTAAACGTTTAACTCTTCTGTTAAATTATTTACTATGAAACTCTTATATTTGGTCGTAATAGTTGGCTCTAATGATTGATAAAAACTTATTTTTAGTTTTAAGTATTTGGTTATTTAAACTTAATACTATCAAAATTTGCATAAGTACTATAAAAAGGAGCTCATGTAAAAACCTTAGCATTAAAATAGACTTAAAAAATTATCACATAACCCCTTCTTATCTGAATTATTTTGTAGTTTTTTATGGTGTGTGTTTAGGTGATTCAAATGCTTTTTGCTTGCTAAAGCTTTATACGACTAATAATTGACTAATAATTCGTAATCCAAGTATACAATCCTGTAATGTATTCTCTAACAATTCGACAAAATAATCGCATCGTAAAAATAATCAATTTCTATGATAGCATGCAATTTTTTGTTTGTTTTAATTAACTATTTATGTTAATTTATAAACGAATCCCACTTCATGTTGGAAATGTTTGAACGTATGTTTGGAACTGATTCTATAATAGTACATAATCAAACGTTTTTTTTTTCAAGTTCTATCAAAAATACTAATGGATATCGATAGAATAATAAAAGAAGCTACAAGCGTATAAGATGCTAAAAGGGAGTAAATATCTTATTTCACGTTTTGATCCCTTAGTTTGGAATTAATTGTCTCAAACTAATTACTTGACTTTTATATAGCCAAATAATAGAAAATATAATTCATTTAACCAAACATTGAAATTGTTTAAATATATATTTAAAATACAATCACAACTATTATATAAACAACACCTCTTCAAAATGCACGTCCAACACTTCTTTAATACTATGTTTGATAGCGTATGTTCATAATCATAATATCATAATTTCTACTTTTATGTTATTATTGTATGTGTTAGCTAGGATGGACCAATTAGCAATTCAAGGTCATTGGAAACAGATACATACATGCTATTAGAAAGAAAATGAGAAGCTTGTTATGATCGAAGTTCTTCAAGATATATATTGCTTCAAGTTATTTTTATTACAATAACAAAAATAACATTCATCATAAAAATAAAAACAATAATAATATTGAAAATGATTCTTGACGACTTAACTCATAAACCAAACATTAATTTTGAAACTACGATCAAACCCATACTAAATGATTTGCAGCAAGCAAACCAAACACACCTACACCATTTCTTCAACGTCTCTTGTAAGACCTGGTTGCTTGCTTCATTTCTAGCGGTCTAATCTCCTAATGAGATCGGTTTTGAGTTCATCTTCATCTATGGCACCAGGGATCTTAACCACCACGTCTTGTAGCATTATCTCATTTACACACGACATGCTTGCATGCTGTATTTGTGCTTTCATTTCTCTCAGAGCATCCATCAGTTTAGCTGCTGGCAAGTCTGCATTCCCTGATTGCACCCTTATCATTGCATCCTCTCCCACGATTTTCACTTCCACTTCCCTGAAACCACTCGTCTTGCTGTTAACCTTTATTGTTGGTTTTGTCGACACCCGAGCTTGATACAAACTGCTAGTGCTGCTGCTTTGAAGGTGGTTGTCCACCGTATCCGCCATTTCCACCTTCACTCTCTTGGTTTTACCTTGGCTGTTGCTGCGAGGATGCAACTGTGATTCCAGATTCTCGACTTTGCCTTTCAATTCATTGATATAGCAGACAGCATCCGCCAAGAGCGACGCCTTGTCCATCCTAGACACGTTTGGGACCACGGAGCGCAGCGCATAGAAACGCTGGTTGAGCTTTTCACGTCGCTGCCTCTCTGCCTCCACGTGGTTTACAGGTGGATCCCTACCACCTGTTTTCTTTCCTTTCTTCTTCTGCATCCGTCTTTCTGACGTAGCAAGAACAAGCTGGCAATCGGAATCTGAATGCTCCGACCCAGTCTCTACATACGTATTCGTAGTAGTAGTGGGGATGGTGTTTTTGTTCATGCATGATCTTCCAAGGTTTTTGGACATCTGATGATCGGCTGTTGCTGATTCGAAATCGATCATGTTCATACCCTCTTCCTCTTGCAATCCGCCAGCCATAAGTACCATATCAGCAAAAGAAATAATATTATGATGTTCTTCGTTGAGGTTGTCTAGCTTCATAGGGTTAGTGGTAGACGTGGTTTCATGGTGTTTGTGATGGAAGAAGTTAGGAAGGGTATTAGGTGGAGAACAAGAAGCCGAAGAAGAACCGCCGCCAAACAGTGACCTTGCCTGATGGGCCAAACTCCATGTTTCCTCGATGACATGATACGAACCCATTTCTACAACACCGTTTGGTGTTGGGATGCAAACTAGGGTTTCCAAACCGTGGATGCGTGCTTCTTTAGCTCTCTCACAGTTAAAAGACTGGAGCTGATCGGCACCGGTTAACCAGATCATAGAGCTTGAACCGAAAGACGTACCTGGAACTGAACCGTCTCCGGGGATAAATGATCTGGTTAAGGAGATAACGTAGAACCACTCGGCGTCGTCTCGGTTGTCTGGTCCAAGGAGGGCCTGGATTTCTTTAAGAACAGACTTCCTGCAGTCTGGATCGGAGTCAGAGAGAAAGGTGGCGGAACTCCCAGACGAGGGCAAGGTGGTGTTTGGGACGTCGTTATTGCTTTGGAAATGACCGTCTCCCCAAGATAAGGATACACAGCCGTTGGAGTCGTCGTTAAAGGTCTGCCAGAAAATTGCGTATGCCCATGGTTGAGGCTGGTTTTGAAGCAGGTTTTGGAGTTTTTGCTGGATTGTATCAGAAGGGGGAGGAGTGTTTGTATTGGGAAAAGAAACGATCGAAGAAGATGAGGATGGGGAGACAATCAGATCCTCCATAGCTAAAGTTGGAAACTTCTTTTTCTTTTACTTGGGAAAGATGGTTTTGCTCTTACTATATAGCAATAGGAGATGGAAATGCAGAGGTTGTCACAGGTGGTACATATTTCAACGCCAATGATATAAGATGCTTTGGTCCACCCCATCCCCATCCCATCTCACCCCACCGATTACTTTGGATTATTTCTTTAAAATAAATAAAAAAGTTTAATTAACAGTGAAATCACAAAATATTTAGGGTTTATTATTATTATTATTTTTTTGTAATTGCATATCTAAAACAAAATTTTAAGAGTTTATTAATTTAATCGGTGTCAAAAACGGTTTTTTAAAGTATTTTGAATAATTTATCCGGTATTAAAAGTAATATCAAAATTTAATAAGTTAATAATTTGTTTTCACATAGATTTTCAAGTACAGTTTTTTTATTTTATTATTTTGCAAAAATAACCAAAATTAGCAACTAGCTAAAAATAGTTAATGAAACAACAGACGAGACTAATTCGTCTCCGGTTTCATTACTCCTCTACAATTTCGTCGTGATCTATAGAAAAAATTATTTTTCCTCATGAAATCATAGATGGCTTAGCCCATCTTCATGGCAGTTTCACAATGGTGCCGATAGTGGCACCGACAACCCCTGTTTTTTCAGATGCAGTGTAAAACTTTTTGAATTTTTCGTTGTTTTTCTAGTATTGTGTCACTACGTAAAAAAATGTGACACTGACAACACCTACTATGAAATCTTGCGTCCGCCCCTGCTCATCTTAGGTTTCCTTTCGTCTCATCTTCGGGTTTGTTTGTTATTTGTTTATGGATTCCGAAGAGCAAAACCGTATATGGGCATATCCCATATGTGGTTCGTCACCTCGACTTCAGTTTTGTATATTTTTTTTATGTTGACTACGGTTTCATCACCAACGTACTTATAATTCTCAGCTTCTACATAGAGAATAATAAAAAAAAAAAAATACTTGTTAGCGTAACATTATTATTATTTATTGTATTTCATATCTTGTATATATCTCGGCCCAGTTAGAGTTAGATTGGCCTGATTCCATGTATTTTTCTATATATTCTTATTCATTAATGATAGATCAGATACGTGGAGAATACATCAATTACATGGTATCAGAGCATACCTTCCTTATCCTTTGTTTCTTAAACCCTAGCCGTCTGTTTCTTTACCTTCGACTAATCTGATCTCTCATATCTTAACTCTCCTGTTCTTTTCATTATGTTGATTCCCATTGCTTCTGATAAACTCTCCTCCACCATAAATATAAAACATACAGTTCCCCTCATTCTAGACCTTGACCAAATGAACTACGACATTTGGCGTGAACTATTTGAGATCCATTGCAGTGGATACAGTGTCGATCATCATCTTCGCCCCAGCACAACAGAATCTGCAGACAAAGAGAAAGAAAAAGACAAGGCTACTACAGAATCAGCCGCTGCTAAAGAAGCATGGACTCGTACAGACTCCATCGTGAAATCTTGGATGTTTGGTACCCTTTCTATCTCCCTTATTCATATGATATTCAAGAAAAAGGTCACTGCATTTGAGGTATGGGAAAGTCTTGAAAAGGTCTTCCATGAAAATAAGGCTTCAAAAGTAATTCAACTAGATAGAGAACTTCGAAATATAACGATTGGAAACTCATTTATTACAGAATATTGCAATCGGATTAAAGCCCTTGCTGATAGACTTGAACATATGGATGCTACTGTTCCCGAAACCAATCTGGTTGCTTACATGTTGTATGGTCTCTCTCCAAAGTATCGATACATAGCCATCAACATTCGTCATCGGGACCCACTTCCATCATTTTGGGATGCAAGATCGATGCCGATTTGTGAGGAACAACAGATGATTCAGGATGATCAGCGTGAAGCCTCTCTCTCCCACCCGGATAATCCCTCTTCTCAAACCGCTCTTACAACCGAGACAACAAATCAATAACACCAACAATCATCGTGGTGGGTTTCGAGGGGGTCGCGGCGGTCAGAAACATTGAGGAGGCAGAGGCAGTGGAAGGTACGGTGGCCGACAATACAATAACAACAGTGGCATCAATTTTTCTCATGGCGGACAACAGCGAGGAGGAGGTCAGACTAATGGCCAATGGGCCTATGGTTGGTTCCAAGTTGACCAACTCACATACGGGGTCCATCAAGCAGGTATACTGCCAACCCCAAATGGGCTTTCTTTTCAGCCAAACTCTAATGGACCAAAACAGAAAACGACCCAAAATTCAGCAACCCAACAACATCATTTTTTTTACTCCATCGCAGTCCAATGTTTAATTTGTGCCACAACAGGTTTTTAATGCCTCCCATCAGACTCATCATCAAAACAATGAGCCCATCATACTTCCACAAATGTTCAACACTATGTCTTTGAATGATCCGGGGCAAGCCGAATGGTATATGGATACCAGAGCCACTTCTCACCTTCATTCCAACGCAGGTATCCTAAAAATTGTTTCAGATAATAATAGTAGTAATTTGTCTTCATCCGTTTTAGTTGGGGATGGATCTTCGATACATGTAACTAAAATGGGACACACCACTCTTCCTTTCTCAAACCCATATCATACTTTACAACTCAAAAATGTTTTGATTACTCCGTCTATTATTAAAAATCTTATATATGTTCGTCGTTTTGTTCGTGAAAATATGGGCACCACTGAATTTGACTCCTTTGGTTTTTCTGTGAAGGACTTTCTCACTCGTCAAATTCTCATGAGATGCGATAGCATCAGAGGCCTTTATCCTGTCACCAATCCGACTCTTCTTCCTTGGATCGTGCTTCCATGAGGTTTCCCTCCTCGACAGAGCCAAGCCCAAACAACTACAACATCAACCACGATCCTGTTGGATTAGGTGTCTAAGCCCATAACTATATTTGGTATATATACTTGACCCGATAGTAGCATGGTCCTTTTGGGTTGCCTTCACCATAGCAACTTGACTGGATGAATTATGGAGAAAGAGGTTAATTATGATTTATTAATATATTATGTGAATAATAAATTAAAATAGAAATCATATTATTTAATTAATATTGGTCAAGAATTAATTTAGAATTACTTCTGTGGTCAAAAGAAATTAATTGAATTAAGGGGACTGATATTGTAAATATGTAATAATTGCAGAATGGGCTGAAGATCTCTTGGATAAGAGGTGGACGAAATCTTATGGAAGCCCATAAGGATTTCGTCCAAGGCTAGGTATTCTGGAAGATTCCTATGGGCTGCTTAGAGCCTAAGCAACCAGATTAGGTCTTTGACTGAAACCCTAATTCCTCACCTATATAAAGGACCCCTTGGGCACCCCAAATCGGCTACAAGAAACCCTAGAAGGATCTTAGAGTCAATTTTGAGCCTCCCCTCTCTCTCTGTCTCTCATATTCTCCAAATTGCTTTTGGTGTTTGTGATCGATTAGAGGTATTACACTTGTGATACTAAAGCTCTCAAAGGTTGAAGATCTTCAAGATACAAACAAAGGTGTTATTCTAACTTGTTTATTATGTCAATTTCGAAATATATATACTAGATTAGGGTTTATAAGCTTTGGATGATTATTGCATGTACAAATAGAAAAACTAGATCCAAAGCTTTAGGGTTTGCATGTATACCATAGGATTGTTGTTTTTCTCAAAACCCATCAGTGGTATAAGAGCCTAGGCTATTTTTCTATTGTATTTGATGCTATGCTTGATTGTTCAAAGCAAAAGTTTTTTCGATTTTGCATCTGCCTGATGACCACGATGTGGCATATCTTGCCACGACGTGGTGGCGAGTCAGAATGCAAATTTTCGGGATTTTGGCAAAGATTGGATTTGGAGGATTACCATAAATTGTTTTTCTAATTAAAATTCGTTTTTATCTGTTATGGTAATGCATATCTAAATCCAATTAGAAGATAATTGTCAATCCATAAGATAATTATTAGTTAATATGATAAAGATAATTATTTGTATTATTTGATGTGAATTATCTTGCCATTAACTGAATTAGGTCAAATTTAGATAATGACAAATTATTTGATTAATTAAATTATAAAAATTTGATCTAGAAGGTTTTGAAAAGTTTCAAAACTTGCCCTTAAGTTTTGGAATTTAAATTTTAATTAAAAAGGTTTTAATTTTGAAATATTTAAATTCTAAACCCTAGAGTTTTAAAAGTTTAAAATTCAACCCTTATACTATTATAATATTAAAAGATTAATTATTATATATATGTATATGACGAGTCAGTCTTACCGTTAGTAGGCCTCATTCACGAAGTCAGTCTACAAGGGGGGTATAAGGTTAATGCCTATAAAATGGTGGTTTAATGGGTGTCCACTCTCACTCACTGCTTCCTTGATTGGTGGAGGGTCGTTAGCCGAACGGGTAGGATAGGACAATTAATTCCTCATTAATAAGTATAATGATTATATAAAGTAACTAAATTTTTTTTTATAAATTCACAATCTTAGTTACTTTAGGAAAAATGTGAAAATGTATGCTATTCCATGAAAGTGCACTTTACACCTTGCCAAGTCGTTAGTGGAGCATGTGTGGTTAACCGACACACTAATTTGGGACTAGCAAAGGTGGAAAAGGGTGGCTCGATGTTTGTCATAGATTAATGGAGCGTGTGTGGCTAACCAACACATTGATTAGGTGATAAATGAAATCGAGAGTACCAAGCACATTTGTATGGTTATTCACACCATGTTTGTGATCCTCGGTATCCCAGTCACAAACTTGAAGGGCATAATCGAGATTGAAACATGCCATTGAAAAGTTCAGTGAATCTCAAAAGAATCTAGGAATTTCAATTCATTTAAAAATTAAACTCCTTTTCTTTTTTATGGTGGAAATTGGTAAATCGTCATTTACCTAACTTCATATTATTTGCAATTAGATTACGGCATCCCTCTTCTGAATTGTAAATAATTGTGTTGCGTCCTAGCCCTAAGTTCTCATTTGGGTGTTTAATTATGG